TAATAATTAGTGGGTCTCATAAGCCTTGTGATAGTGTGGACACAAATTCATTTATATATATAAATTTTCTTTATAAATTTAATAAACTAATTAATTCTTGCCCATTTATATAGATGAGCTAAAAATATGACAAAGTTTGATTAAAGTAATTTATTTTTGTTTTTTATAGAGAGGAGGATTTTTTCAAGAAAAATAATTTTTACATCGAATAATTGCAGTGAATTGTTATACCTACTCTTTTTAATTGGTTAATTATATAACAAATAAGGAAATAGACTCTACTTAGTTGTATTTGGTATAAATAGCTAATTAAAAGTTATTGGGTTAGACAATTCACTATAAATATTCAGAGTAAGTTTTTTTTATTTTTTCAAACTCATTTACGACCATTCTTTCATAATTAGTTCTTACTTATCAGTAAAAACGAATAATAAATGTCACATCCCGGGTTTTGTAACCTAATATAATCCATTTGTAATCTGAAAATGACCGAGTTTTTGTAATCCAATATAAAAACCAATAATTCTCTTTTGTAATATCAAAATGATACCATCATGTTCTTTTCAGGGACAACTTTGTGACTGGGCCATTGAGGCATTAGCCTAAGGCCCATGTAAAAAACAAAGGCCATTTAAAAAAAAAATGCCTCTTATCTTTCTCAGTGGAACATTTTAATTTAACTCGAAAAAATAAAAATTGGAACACTTCAAATTTTTTGTTAGGAGTAAAATCATAAAATTCTCACATACTATATCCATATTCATCTTATAACCCCTTAAACTAATAAATAACCTCTTGATAAAGAGTAAAACCATAAAATTCTCGTATACTATCCATATTCATCGTATAACTCTTAAACTAACAAATAACCTCATGATAAGATAAGAGTAAAATCATAAAATTTATAGCCCCTTAAACTAACAAATAACCTCATGAACTAACAAAATTGATCGTTTAAGCCAATTACGTTACAAAGCTGGTCGTTATATTGTAAAATGATTTAACTTGCCCTCACGTATGAATGAATATTAAGTTGCGTGTCTTCTATTGTAATATTGTTGAGTCTTCCCAGCCCAAAATTATGCATAACAAAACTTTCTCCTTTCTTCTCTGTACACAGTCATACAAGCTCATCTACATGTGCACACATTGTTCTTTTTGTTTTTCTTATTTTAGTATTTCAGTCAAACATAGTAAACCCTTCAATTCCCTTTCTCTGCCTCTGTCTCAAAAGCCAATAATCTCTGTTGTGTTCGAGCTATTCACAGAGAAAGCAATCAAGGCTGGGACGTTTTCTCAAAGAGAAACCAAAGCTTTAGACAAAGATGTTACTCAGCAGTACTACTCATTGGGTTTGATCATCAAGGACAAGGACAAGACAGAACCAGAAATTATGTTCAGGGGCACAATGCAAATATTTTTTGAAGAGGGCAATTTTAAATTTTAAAGAGTTAAACATACAAAAATATAATTTTTTAAAAGTTGAGGAGGACAATTTTAAAAGTTTTAAAAATTATACATATAAAAATGCAAATTTTAAAATTTTGAGGGAGTCTTTTTAAAAGTCGAGGGGGTAATTTTAAAAATTATACATACGAAAATGCAATTTTTAAAAAGTTTCGGGAGCACATCCCGTGGGGGCCGTAATTGGCTCCGTCCATGATCGAGGATCGAGCTTTCGCAATTTAGGGATTATAATATCTATGGCTTACTTGATTAGGGCTGCGAAATACCTAGGGTATGGCTTACTTCAGGCTGATTGTCTTAAAAAAGAAGAAGATGGCACTCCTGAGTTACATGGCCTGCTCTAGTGATTATGATTTTCGATTGAGAATAAAGAGAAGAAAACCGTTAGTCCCAAATATACTGAGCTCCAGTTTGAGTGCGGGCCGGGTTAAGTTGTGAATAGTATTTGTGTCATTTATAAAGGATTTCAATCATTCAGAGCTTGTTTGGCAATCGGTTCTACCTAGTCTTTTTTGCTCCCGACAGTGTACTATAGTTAAGTAAAAATATAAAGCATGTTTGATAACGTTTGAAAAATAAAAGTAAAATAAAAATATAAAGCATGTTTGGCAACGTTTGTTGCTATTTGAATAGTATTGAAGCGTTTTCGAAAAAGTGCCCAAAATCGAAAACACCTAATGCTTCCCCTTTTGTCCACACTATAACAAAAAAATTGTAAACTCTAAAATGAACTTAGCCATTTTATTTTTCAAACTTGCCAAACGTATTTTCATGTTTTTGCTTCAAAAAATCTTACAACAAATATATGTTACCAAATATGTTTCAAAATAGTATTAAATACACTCCAAAGTAGAAACGTTGCTTTTGTTTCGGATCAAAACAAAAGCACGAAGTGAGTTTGCCAAAGAGGCCATAGAGAGTTTAATTTCACACATGGCGCTCACATGCTATTTTTCTATTAGAGTTTAATAACAAACTAATAGAAAGAGCGTAAATTAATAGATTTTTTAAAACTATTTAATTTGAGTTAGTTCATATAATGCATAATCTACCAAACATTATACATTAGTTATTGGAAAAATTACACATAGATAGTTAGGAGTCCTAAATAATAAATTGGTCTATTTTAAAAGTTTATTTTTTAATTTAATTTAATTAAATTAAATAATTACAAATGCATCAAGAAATAAAAATTATTTATATTTTTGTTTTTACATATCAAATAATAAAAACCAACCTTAATTTTTTCTACATAATAATTATTATTATTATTATTATTTGAAAGGTAAAGTAATTCACTCACATACACCTTCCGCTGATGCTCAAACTCAAGACCTCCATTTAAAAAACATGGATATGATACTGATGAACAACGGACTGTTAAGTAATTAGTGGTTATTATATAAACCTTTTCCCTCCCGAACAACCCCCCCCCCCCCACCAAAAGAAAAAAAAAACTGCCCATTATTTCCACTTGCGTTTTCGTTTATATATATTAAATATGATATAATTATCCTTAAAAAACACAATCTCACTTTACAACATAACATAACATTTACTACCATTTTTTGAAATAGAAATGATAATTCACACTATTATTTCATAAACTAATTTTTCTTTATAAAATGAAGTGACACAATAATCTTTCAAAAAAAAAAATCTTTAAAAACTCTAAGAACTCCACAACTGTCCTGAAAGTACTCCTAGGTGTTGTTTTATAATAATTTTAGCACTCAATTATGAAAAGTTAAGTACTTATTTAATTATATGCATTTGACAATGCGATTAGAACATCATCTAAATAAATACTTGTCACATAAAATGTTATAATTTTTTTAATTCTCTAAATCTATATCTCTACTTATTATAAAACTCCAAGGTATTTCTTTTATTATTATTATTTTTTATTTTAAAATATTTTCATATTTTGTAAAATATAAAAAGAGAGTTTTTCCCTTTTTATTAAAGTGTTTGCATTAACGGTGGTGTTGTTTCATTGATGGTTATAAGTATTTAATATCGTGTTTTAATTATTTGTTAGTCAGCATTTTCATGTGTTGTAGGATTGATACACTGCTCAATAAAAAAAATAAAAAAAAAATAAAAAAATAAAAAAATTTGAAGTTACATATTGAATGAAATATAGAGTATAATAACATGCATGGACGAAACTTCAAAATAAGTATGATTTTTGCCGGAATGTTGGAATGGCCATTGATAAGGAAGATTTTTTAATATATATATATATATATATATATATATATATATATATATATATATATTTAGTCATCAATGAGATGGAACCTTAATTAGTCATTGGTATGGCTGGTAAGCTATTTTTTTATTTTTTATTTTTGAATGTCAGGATAATAATCATGATAAATTATACCGACTTTTCTTGAAATTTAAACAAATTTCACACAAGTGGAGCGTTTAAGATTCATTGTTTTGATGTCGAGGTTTGGGCAAATGCTTAACAACCTCCCCTCTCCATCAAAACTTGTAAAAAAATTTCATAGAATGATCAAATTGCTCTTACACTCAAATTTTTTTATTTTATTTACAAGATTTTTTTTAGGGGATGGTAATGGTGGTGAAAAGGAGAGAGAAAGTAGTAAGAGAGATGAGATAAAATAATAGATTTTTTCAGATTTTATAATATATTTTGTATTATAAAAATATATTATATATAAAGGTAAAATTTACTTTTTAAAGTCTTAACGGAGGCCAGACTAATAAACTCTAAAGGTGGACAATTTGTCCAAACCAAAAGAAAGATAAGTATAATTTACCTTAACAATCACTGAATGTAACTATATGGTTTTAGTTAAAGGCAAAACTGCTTTTAATACTTCCGGTGAGGGCAGTCGTCCGGAGATGTCACTTCTGTCCATAAAATACACCAATTATTAGGATGGTGGTATTTTGTAGTTTGAGGAGTTATTTGCACATGGACTGTATTATCGGATAACAATTAAAAAATATCTTAATATCAAATAACAATTGAAAAAATAATTATCCAACTAAAAAAAAAAAAAAAAAAAAAAAAAGAAGGAGATTATTTTTATTTTTTTTATTGTAATTCTGAAAAAAGAAAAAGAAGATGAGATCGAGGATAAAGTTGGGTGGGGATGGAGTTTAGTCTATAGAGCTTCCCAAAAGATGGAGGATGGGGCAGGGCCAGGGACAGGGACTTCTTTGTAAGGACTCTCATGGTATGCTTGCTGAAACGAAGTATCAAAAATTTTAGAGCTTCATTACAACAAGGCATGCAATCTATTCCTTGTTGAGGTGGTATTGTTTTCTTTTTACTTTGAAAAGGCAATTACTTGTGTTTGGTACTGTCGAATTTATGCTTTAAATTTGAAATTGGAAGAAATTTTATTCAAACTTTAAACTGAATTTCCTTTAATTTCAATTCTAAAGCACGGATTTGATGCTCCCAAACCCCGAGTTGAAGTTTTGTTGGTTGGGATGTGGATTGATATGTACGTTTCTCACTGCTTTGGTGGCTCCCCATCTTTAGAATTTTCCGCGTGAACACGAGGGCCTGCTTTTCCCTTTCCTATAAAGCCATCCAACTTCTGTATATGGTCAATGTGACCACACAAAAGCCATAAATGGTGGGAAAAAGCAGCCAAACAACAAGAATCTGATAAGAATTTTTACCTTTTGTTATTATTATTTTTTTTTTTTTAAGTGACTTTAAACCCTCACAGATTCCATTATTGCTATGTTTGGAATCGGTGGCTTAGATTTAAAATTGGAAGAAATTTAGTTAAAAATTTGAACTAAATTTCCTCCCATCCCAAATCCAAAGCACCAATGATTCTGTGCTCCCAACCGTATCTTTAGAATTCGAGTAGCTAGCTACCACTAGATTTTATTATATTGAGTTTGAAGGTTAGAACAAATTCCTTAATCTGTGTTCTCATACTATAAAGTGGGGAGGAAATTGCTTGGAAACTACGCAGAAGGTATCTATTTCATATCCTGCTTGTTTGTATAATATATACATGTGTGTGTCTTATTGCTCTCCATATCACTACCACTAGTTCCAATGGCTTCTTCTTCTTCTTCTTCATCACTGCCCCGATGGGAATATGATGTGTTTTTGAGTTTTAGAGGGGAAGACACTCGCAAGACCTTTGTGGGCCATCTATACACGGCTCTGAATCAGAGAGGAATCAGGACCTTCAAAGACGACGAAAGGCTTGAGCAAGGAAAATCTATTTCTTTGGATCTCGTGAAAAGTATCAATGAATCCAGCGTGGCTGTGATCGTTTTCTCCAAGAACTATGCTAATTCGGCATGGTGCTTGGATGAATTGGTGGAGATCCTTGAGTGCAGGAGGACCAAGGGACAAATAGTTTTGCCCATCTTCTATGATGTCAAAGCATCCGAAGTTCGGAAACAGAAGAGGAGTTACGAGGAAGCATTTCGAGAGCACGAAGAATATCATAAGGAGGAGATGGGAAAGGTGCAGAGATGGAGGGCTGCTTTGAAGGAAGCTGCAAATCTAAGCGGGTTCGATTTAGAAGATGCAGCAAATGGGTATGCACATATGTTCTGCTTCTATCAGTTACTACTAGTACTGGCTTAGTTCAATGTATATTATATGATTCTATTTTATTGTTTGTGGTCAAGAGCAACAACTTTAACATCCTAATGCAGTACAATTATACACCCTCCTATCTTAATTCGACTACCATTAGATAGTAGCAAACTTCAAATTTAAGTAGGCAAGTATAATTCTGTAGAAAGGGCTGGAGAAAAAAAAATCTGTAGAAAGGGTATCATGGCGTATGTGTTACTAAAATGTTGAATCACTCATATTTATATTTATAAGCACCAAATGGATTTCAGCTTATTCAACTATCATTCTATTTCTAGAAAATCGGTTGTTAGAAGCATATATTTTTTGCCTATATGCAAGTTATAATGAATAAATACTTATTTTAGCCTTTAAATTATTTCACTCTTTGTTTTTTGCCCTCACTAGATTTAGATTTTAATGTGCTTTATATTTGATAGTTATGAGGAAAAGTTCATCCAAAAAATAGTTCAAGCAATTTCAAGAAAATTGCAGCCTATACCATTCAAAGTTGCTGAGTATGAAGTGGGTATTGATTCTCGAGCAAAGAAAGTAATCATGTTGCTAAATGATAGGCCAAAGGATAAACTCTTTGTTGGTATTTGTGGAACTGGAGGAGTAGGTAAGACAACCGTTGTCAAAGCGGTTTTCAACCAAATATCAAATGAATTTGAAAGAAGTTGTTTTCTTGAAAATGTGAGGGAAGAGTCAACAAAGCAAGATGGTCTAGCAAAACTACAACAAAAACTTCTCAGAGAGACGCTAATGGATAATTATTTAAAGATATCGAACTCTGACAGGGGAATCAATGAGATAAAGCTTCGACTTCAGCACCAAAAGGTTCTTATAGTTCTTGATGATGTAGATAAGGAGAAGCAATTAATGGGACTGGCTGGAATAGGACATGATTTCTTTGGTTCGGGAAGTAGGATTATCATAACTACTAGGGATGAAAGGTTGTTAATGAAGTACAATGTTAAAACATACCATGCTGAGCTATTAGATGACAAAGAAGCACTTGAACTTTTTAGTTGGCATGCATTCAAGCGGAACAATCCTGTAGAAGAGTTCCGTGAACTCTCACACCGTGTAAAAGATTATTCCAAAGGTCTTCCGTTAGCTCTTCGCGTTTTGGGATCTTTTTTATGTGAAAGAAGCATTTCAGAGTGGGTAAGTGAATTGGATAAATTAAAGAGCAACCCTCCCGAAGAAATTCAAGATGTTCTCAGGATAAGTTACGATGGCCTTGATAAGAAGGAGAAGGCTATATTCCTCGATATTGCATGTTTCTTCAAAGGATATGATGCAAAATTTGCTATGGATATTTTTGAGAGTTGTGGATTTCACCCAGTCATTGGAATAAACGTTCTTACTGAAAGGTCCCTCATCACTATTTCAGAATATAACACGCTCTGGATGCATGATTTGATACAAGAAATGGGTCGAGAAATTGTTCGTCAAGAATCTGAAGATCCTGGAAAGCGCAGTAGGCTATGGTCTTACGAAGACATCGATGAAGTCACTGAAAACACGGTATGCGTTAAACACATATTAGTTTCTTTCCTAGTGCAAGTTGTGCAAAAAAATTAAGTTTACAGCATTGTAGACCTTGTACATTTAAGTTACTTTGAAGTAGTATAATTTTAATTAGGTTTTTATATTATCAGGATACACTTACTCCATATTATTGTATCCTTGCTCCATGTTATTGATTAACAGGTGACAGAAAATATTGAAGCCATTATGCTTACTAATGAAGGGTTGGATGTAAGCACAGATGCCTTCACAAAGATGAGGAAGTTAAGAATACTCGAAATCAATGGCGTGCAACTTCATGGATGCCTTACATATCTTTCAAATGAGTTAAGATATCTTGATTGGAATGGCTATCCCGAAGAATATTTGCCAAACAATTTTCATCCAAAAAAACTTGTTCGACTCCATTTACGTAATAGCCTGATAAAAGAAATTCGAATGACCACAAAAGTAAGATTATTATTACACACTATTTTCCTTTCTGTAAATAATTTTCTCCAAGTCTTTGGGGGGAAAAAAAAAAAATCTCCAGTCAATTGAAGCTAACTTATTTTATTTTGTTTGTTTTTATTTTTATTTTTTTTATTTTTATTTTTATTTTTTTATCAGTTTCTAAAGATGTTAAAAGTCCTTGATCTCAGTTACTGCAAAAATCTGCCGGAAAAGAATCTTAATTTTTCAGAGTTCCCAATTCTGGAGGAATTATATCTTATAGGTTGTGAAAGTCTGCTTGAGGTTGAATTTGACAATATGAAGGTAATGTTATTATTAAGTGCAACATGCTTCCCTTGGCGAATTATTTTGTTAAGTTAATTGAAGATAATTTATATCATAAGTTTTGTTCCAAAAACATCTGGTTTATTTAAAAGCCAATGATTTCATATATTATATAAATTACTAACATTTTGAGAAACATCTAATTTGTCCGAGTTCCCATGTCAGTAGGCCCGTGGTTCCAACCTTGTGTCCCTTCATCTTCGATGATGATTAGAACTCAACCGAGGAAAAGGAGGATTTATGGGTAGTTAAGATTTGATTATATTTATGTCTATCACATAGTAGCAAACTCTGAGTCAAAGGAAAAAAATTTGTTACGGCATTTTCATTTTTCAACAACTCGGTAACATGCTGAAGCACTCTCGAGTCTCACCAAGGTCACCATGAAAAAGTTGTCAAGAACCTCCAGATTAATGGGCATATTTGGAAGAATGCCCAACGCAGCTTTAGGTTCATCACAGTTAAAAAAAAGGTTCATCACAGTTAACTTTTTAAAAATTTTACCATCTTTTGGAATAAAAAATAAAAAAAGATAATTATTTAATTAAAATGGTGTGATAGATTCAGAAATTTGGTTGGCCTTTACGGACCTGTATTTGTTATATAGGGTTTGAGTAATTAAAGCCACAATCTCAATACAGTCATAGGCCCATAAATTAATTAAGGAATACAATCCTAGCCCATAAATTAAGGAACCTATTCCTAAATTAAGAGATATTCTCTGCAAAGAATAATGGTATGCTTTAACCCACATGGGTGGTCCAGTGGTTAGGGGGTCTCAAGAGGTGAGCCGTAAACTCGGACATCCTGAGTCAACTCTCACAGGGCGGAAAAACACATTGGTTTAAATGATATGTGTGATTTGCAAGTGATTGTACATATCCGAGAATACCAGATTTACTGTCATGTAAAATGCATTATTGCTGTCAGAAAAGAGTCCAATTTCTCGAAGAATATAAGCAACTCAAGTGAGTTCAGCTGTAGTGATTGCCATGGACTGGTATTTTGCCTTGACACTTGAACGAGGAACTATAAGATGTAGGATTTTAAGAGAAGCCTTAATTAACTAAAACTTAATACAATTTAACAGCTGAAAATTCAAACAATCAAGGATGAACTTTGAGGTGTGATAGCAAAGATGTCAAATAATCAAGGAGAAAAGAAATAGAATAAGAGCAGCCTATTGAAATCACATCAATAGGTCTAGACATCACACACCCTCATATTTTGTGAATCCTCACAAAGAAATTTCATAGACAGTTATTTGTTCATTCTTTTTTTTCTTTTTTTTTTCCCTGAATAGTTATTTGTTCATTCATTCACTGATGAGCCAAGTTTACACTTCATTCCTTTATAGGATTCTGCTCATGCTACTTGGAATTACATGGAGCTTAACTTATAACTTTTGATCTTACCTTATAATTGAGGTAATCAATAAGATTTACTACTCTTCCAGTTCTTAACCTATGACTCAATAACATAAAAGCAAATAAAAATCTCAAAACTCTTTCAATTCTTTTAACTCCCGACCTAAGAACATAAAAGCAAATAAAAACCACCATAATAACTACACCATAATGCCCACCAAACTCATAAATGATGCAACTTGACCACAACACCCAATTATTCAAGACTAGTGGACCCACATCATCTAACTTATGCCAAATTAAGGCTTGAGTCTTAGAATCCTTCTTTTCACGCTTTTTATACACATTTAAAGATTGTTGCCATTGATCTCCATCAACCCTTCCCGACTTGGAAAAACTCAACTCCGACGAGTTAAAGGAATGAAATTGCTCATAAAGATAAGGAGCTACGTGTTGGGTGTTGGAACTCACTATTGGTAATCCATTTATCAAGGAACTTTTAATAACCACCTCCTCTTGTTGAAACAAGTTGGTGATGAATAATATATTCTATTTCCTCCTTTAAACGTGGGGCTGGTGGAAGGCGAGTAATAGGAGCATCAAGAAATGGATCATCAACAAGACATCGAAGCAAGTCACCCAAGGCGTTTTGGCCATCAGTTTGTGGGTGGAAAGACCAAGAAAATTTCAGCCTTGTATTCAGCAACTTCCATAATTTGCACCAAAGATAACTCATAAACTTCACGTCTCCATCAGAGACAAAGTTGGGCAACTTCTTGAAAAAAAGAAGTTTCGGCAATGTGGACAACATCAAAAGCCGTAGAACCAGGGAGGAAATGCTCCATTTTTTTAAAACGATGCACAACAATGAATATAGCACCATGTCCTCGACTAGTTCTAGGTGACCCAAGAACAAAATCATCTTCTGACTCACCATCCTCGTGATTCACATTCACAAGAGGTGCAATTGAAGTCTCTATCATTCCAACTTCCACACTAGGGTCTCTTTTTTCAATTTCATTGTGTCGGCAAAGAACATGCTGCAAGTTATCATTCAATGCCAATCCCTTGCATAGAAGCTCCTCATCTGCAGTATTGTTTACAATTATCGCAGCACGGTTTTGGTAAGATGACACTGATCAAGGAGGCCAACAATCACCTCTTGCTTTACACCCTCATGATTCTGAGCATCCAAGGCACCAACCATTTCCATTAACACATACTGCTAGTCCCTGAGCATTGTGAATCTTCCTCGAATGATGAAGCATTGTGAACCACTGGCTAGGTTTGTGGTGGAATAAATAAGAAGACAAAGTTTTCCTCTCGTGGTGGAAATTCTACTCCAACAGCCTTCAGTTCATTATATACAGCATAGTGCTGAGGATATCTTCATCTGAGCCCCCAAAAGCTTCTTGCCATGTATCTCTCAAAATTACTTCTCCCTAACCTTCGAATAGGCTTCTTCTTTACAATTTTGAACATTCCATGTAAGATATCCCACTTAACAATCAGTTGGAACACACTCTCCCAACAGTTTTTACTATGAGTCTCCAATACCCGATATGAAGTACCATCTATCCAAGCCACTTTAAAGGGTTGTGGATGTGGTTGGATTGAAAGCTCGAGGCCCCCAACCGTGGCTGCAGACACAACATTCATTCAACTGCCCCCATCAATAATAAGCTTTCGAGTTGAACTAGCATTTGAAAAATAGATGTGTGCCGCCAATCTTTGTCTTTATCTTTAGGGACTGCAAGGATGTGCCTCACAACGGAGATGGATGGAACATAAATCTTCATCCTCTTCCAGGCCATTAGCTTCCTCTGGTTGAGCAGTAGCCTTTCTGAGTTCATTACCGTGGTCCATGGATTGTTGCAGTTTCTCAAGTCGTTTGTTGAGGAATATGTTGTCTCTTTGCAGTATTTCCACTACTTCCTTTATGGTCACGAGTTCTCTCGAAAGAGCATTCAAAGTGATCTATGTTGTGATGGACAGCTAGAGAGACTTCTTGTTCTTTTTATCCACTTCCTTGCTGGTCATTAAGTGGGTGGGGACATAGGTCAAGGTGGATGAGGAAGGGTCAGAGGAGGGCTGAGAGGAGGGGTATATGGGTTGGGGGTTCATGGTTTTCCAAAATACACCATTGGTTGAAAATTCTATGCTCAGTTTGGTGGTAGAAAAAGGGAGAAGGAAGAAGGGTGAGAAAAAATGAAAAAGAAAGATCCATTACAATAGAGAATATTTTTATCTATATCATAGGTATTATTTTTATATAAGGCTTGATTTATGTTAGCATAATTCTTTTTGGATTATATTTTTAGGTGAGGTCAATACGTAAAACTGACCAATCCAAAAAGTTCTTGTACGATTCGGATTGGTTTTAGTTTAGGTGGTTCCATTAGTTGGTTCACTTTAAGATCAGTTTTTATTATTTATTTTATATAATTTATTTATCTTTTAAACCGAACTGTATATCCCTAATTACTTGCTGATAACTCATGTTTGGGGTAAAATATAAATAGGCACAGAAGTGAAATCTGTTGACCAACCTGAATTGGTGGAACCTCTGAGTGAATGCAAATTGAAATAACTGATTGAACAAATGGCATTGATCTTTTTTAATGTATAGTTTCAGTTAATTTCTCTTCAAGTCTATGCTTTGTTTGTGGATTGTGAGGGATAGAAAAGGAAAAGGACAAAATGAAAAAAAGAAAGAAAAAGGAACGGGAATTATCTAGCCCTCTTCTGTGTTTTTTTACTCTCATTTCTAATGAGATTAGGAGTTAATAGTAAGACTCTTACTTTACATACATTTTCCCTTGTTGAATAATTATTTTGAGTTAATTGAAGCTGATTCCTTTCATTATTTATTTGTTTGTTTTAGCAGGTCATGGATAAGTTAAAACTCATTGATCTCAGTTACTGTGAAAATTTAAAGAGAACCCCTAATTTGTCGCTGTTGCCATGTCTGGAGAAATTGAAACTTCATTATTGTAAAAGTCTGGTTGAGGTTCATCCGTCTATTGAATTTCACGAGAGGCTTGTTAGCTTGGATTTTTATCATTGTGAAAATCTGAAGAGTCTTGCAACAAGAATGAATGTGAAATCTCTTAACTTGCTTTGTCTCCATAGCTGCTACAAACTTGAGACGTTTCCAGAGATCCAAGGAGAGATGGAATGTTTAACGCAGCTTCAATTAATAGGAACTGCAATAAAAGAATTACCTCCATCAGTAGTTGAACATCTCAAAGGGCTTAAGGATATTTTTCTGACGAATTGTAAAACGATTGAAAGATTGCCGATCAATATTGGCGTAATGAAGAATTTACGGTTGCTAAGCTTGGAAGGAAGTGGCATAAAAGATTTACCTCCATCGATTGAACATCTCAAAAGCCTTGAGAATTTAGATCTGGGGGACTGCAAAATGGTTGGAAGCTTGCCTAGCAATATTGGTGAAATGAAGAGTTTAGAATTTCTGAAATTGGGACGTACTGGTATCAAAGAGTTGCCACCATCCATTGTGCAGTTGACGAATCTTAAACACTTACTTTGGTTTGACTGCGGTTTAGATGAAGAATCCATTCTCAATCTTCCTCACTCGTTGCAACGTTTAGATCTAAGCAGCAACAACTTTGCTAGCTTACCAGCAAGTTTCGCTCAACTCACACAACTTGAATCCCTTGATTTGGATGATTGCTTAAGCCTCCAAACATTGGAATCACTTCCGTCATCTATACGTGAGGTCAATGCAGAACGTTGTGTATCATTAGAATGGTATTCCGTTCCAAAAAGTGAAGGGGGCCGTAGAGATTATCGAGAATTCATTTTCACAGACAGCCACAAATTGTTTGGGAATCATGAGAACAAGAAGCTAAATATATATTCAGAAAGTGTACTTCAGGTATGCATATGTGTGTGCATGTATGCAAATCCCTCTCCCTCTCTCTCTCTCCTCTGTACACTCAGAATTTACCGCTATCTGTATATTCCCTTTATATCCTCTTTCTGACAAGTAAATCATTGTTATGTTTTTTATATATGGAACAGGAAATTGGTGAAACATTTATCGTTCTCCCAGGAAGTGAGATTCCAAATTGGTTCAGCCATATATGTGAGAGTGATGAGGACTATTCAGTGTGTTTTAGGGTGGATCCAAATTCTTGCAATAACCTCAAAGGAATTGTTGTTTGCGCTGTCATCGGATTCGATCATGAACCATCTGACAATGAAGACGATGATGATGACGTGGAGACAAAATTTGCTGCATATGTTGGATTTAATCTCAATTTCATTGAAAACCCCATCGAATTTCCATTTCCAGCGATGGGCAGAATCCGGTCAGATCACATCATGTTGACTAACCTGCATGATTCACATGCAGGCATTAAAAAAGGGATATGCAATTCTGATGGTAACATTGAGGTTTCAATTGTTCAACCTGTCGCTATTAGATTCAAGGCGAAAAAATGGGGTATTCATCTAGTAATGGACGAGCACACATACATAGATGAAGATGCATGATCCTCTGTCTCTCATGCAAAAAGGTATAAGTAGCAGTGGTCAGGTAAGAAAAAAATAAATGAAAAATTAAATACTGCTCAATTTGCTTCACAAGTATCCAATCCCGAATTCTTAGATTTCTATAAGGCCATTACGACTTTTCTCATTTGAGAATCTAAAAGTATCTGTCCCCTATTCACTAATTTTATAAAACTTCATTTCTTAACTAAATATTTCAAAAGTCCATGATTATCTATTCCAAGCTAATAATTCTATTTGGTCTATTTGGTCTGATTCCTTAATTTTTAATTCAAAAAAATGTTCTCGACCACCATGCAAGACAAAATCTATTCCTCTGTCACCAATTGTAAAAGCAATCTAATAGATACCAGTTATATCAGTCTCTGTCAATATAAACGATTATATTATAATGTTACTGTTATAACAGTTATATAATTAGTTTGTTAGTCATTTTGAGTTTGGGATAATTGGGCTTGGGTCGTAAACGAATCGACACGATTAGACACACAAATTAATTTGTGCTCACATGTTCACTGTGCATGTTGATTTAAATCCTAAATAATGCCAAAATATAGTGATCATTGTTGAGAAATTAGAATGCCACTTGAATTCTCCAAATGACTGTTTATTTGTTAGGTTAATTGCCTCTCTTATCTTGCCCTAGTCTGAAATTTTTTTTTTTTTGCCTCTCTTCAATTCTTCTCTTCCTCTTCATCTAGCCTCTTATTCGTTGTAGAGAATATTATGAAGCCCTAATTACAATTTACAATTGCTCTCAACTTAAATACTAGTTGTATTTTCTCTTGCTTGGTTACTAACTTATTATATTTTCAATTTACTTCTAACCATATTATATTTTACGAAAATACCCCTCAACCAATTCTTATTTACCTTTTAAAATTTGGGTTATTTCACTCTTCTGCAACACAATGTGACCTAAGTAGTCTTTCTTCATACCCATGATCGGGAAATGTTAGATCTGAGTAGCTATATATTATATATAACATTATTTTCACCACATTTCAGTGTATTTTCATGTTTTGTTTGTAGTTCTGACCTTTTTTGGCTGCCGATGGGCACTGAAATGATTTTTAATTATTTTTGTGGTAGATCTTCTGAGCATGTTATTATAGGTTCCTTTTAATGGTTTGCTGTGAGCATTCAAGGAACTTTCTGTTGATATTCCTTAGAATATTATCTGCTGATATGCATTATTATAGGAGTAGCACGTACCATTTATATTCTCTTTATTAACTTTCTATTTATATTCCTTTTATTTTCTTTTCAGTGAAAATGATTTTGCTGCTGCTACTATTGAAGGTAAAACACACACTTTGTTAATTGTATTTTGCTTTTCCATATTATATAAAATAGACGTATTTTGTTGCTAATCAGTTGCATTTTGCTTCTCCATGTTTTGTGGTATTTTACTTGTCCATGTTTTGTAGTATTTTACTTTGTTAAAACATGAACAGTTGCTGTTAATTTTATTTTACTTGTCCATGTTTTATTCCCTTTACTTTTATCTATACTGGTTTTTCTTTAATATAATACTACTAGCAATCATCAATAGGAAGAAAAGAGAACACTTGCAGTAGTCCCCTAAAACATGGTTACATGTGTGTTTATGGCAACAGGTACAATTGGAGATGTGAACTTTTTTGTGCTTCTAAGTATCAATTTTATGCTACTTGAGTTTTTCTACATGTTTAAATTATTCATCTGAAATCTGGTGGTTTCACTTCCATGATATGTTATCGATTTAATGGATCAACTTCATGGTGCATCACCGAAACAATCAGCAATATCAGTTAAAATTACAATATATTAATGATATGTTTGGTTGAATTTACAATATTTTAATGCTATATTTGGTTGCATGGAATTGCTGTCTTGAAATATGACCCACAACTGCTGATCCTAAGAAACAGTGAAGATCAAGTGAGAACATGGGCGGAGCTTTTAATGGGCTAACCTGGGTCCAATATTTTTAAAAAAGACTAGTACTACTATTCTTATCAGTTTAGTCCGTATGTAATCAATTTTTAGTACTACTCTTTCTCTTTCTCTTTCAATCCACTGGTTACTGCTCTTTCTCTTTCTATCAGCACAATTCAGCCCAATTCATGGTACTACTCTTCCTCTCTTTCTCTTTCTATCAGCACAATTCAGCCCAATTCATGGTACTACTCTTCCTCTTTCTATCAGCCCAATCCATATGTGATATGTAATCAATTTTTACTGCTCTTCAGCCACTTTCTCTCAGCACGCGGTGGTATTTTCCCTCATAGGGTTTCGCCTGTTCGGGGGTCTAACAAGGAAATTGCTGAGACTTGAGAGGGGGTCCGATTTCTCATTTTTTTGAACAAATATAGATAAAAAATCAGTGAAGAGAATACGAAAAAGAAGAAGGATCTCATTGAGGTCAGAAACTCTATTTATTGGTGCTTTTTAATTTTTATCTCCTAAAAAACTTGATTTGATATATGAGAACATCATCATTTTTTGGTCTATTTTTTAATATATATAACATTTCTTTATCATAAGAATTATTGTGTTCATGAGAACATCATCATTTTTTGGTCTATTTTTTAATATGTAGAACATATCTTTATCATAAGAATTATTGTGTTCATCTTCAAATTTTTTTTATTATCTTTAGTCCCCTACTTTACAACAATCCACCTGAGTGAAAACCAATTATAATATCACAAAGTTGAGAGAGTGTTTGACAAGTTCAAGCAGCAAAATACAATTTTATATGATGCTTCTAGCCAGTGGTCTATACATGATATGTATCTTGGTTCGTATGAAATGGCATGACCTTTTTTCATATGCTGAATTATTTAGTTGTTTGTTCTACTTGAGTTTTTGTTAATTCTATCTTTTTTATATAGGTATAAAAGATATGGGAGCTGAAGAATTTATTAATGGCAGTGGATGATTTGTTTGGTGGCAAGCTTGGATTATAGGAGAATGAAATTGCATTGACCTTTTTTTTTTTTTTTTTTTTTTCCTTGAATGAATGGGACTTTGTGGTTTTGAATCGAGAATGTAGCATTATATCCAGACTTCTCTCCTTTGAATCGAGAATATAGCAATTTCTTTTGGATTTCTCAGGCTTATTTTTTAGTGTTTGGCAAAAGTTTAAGGCAAAAGTTTAAGTCAATGTTAAGGTTGAGTTCATTGGGTTATTTTGTCATTGGGGCAAAGGTCTAAGTCAATGTTAAGGTTGAGTTCATTTGGTTATTTTCTCATTGGTTGTAAAATAATGTGCTAAAAATTGATAGGTAAGTTACAAAAAAAAAAAAAGTATGGAGCCTAATTGTTAAATGGTTTGTTCAAACCATTTGTGTTGTAATTGGAATTAATATTTTGTTTGGTGGCAAGCTTGGGACTGCATACGTTAAAAATTGAAAGGAAATGAGAATATAAAAAAGTGAAGTGCGTATGCATCAACCACCATTTTATTCATAAGAAGTTGGGAATAGCGCGTTAGATCAACCACCATTCTATTCATTAAGAAGTTGAATACACTTTTATTTCAGGGAAAGTGTTGCCACAGATAACCTTTTGAGTGGATGATGAAGAAAAGGGCGGGAAATGAAGGCACCTCCAATCCTATCAAATCAAATCCTGAAACAGCAGCATTTAGGAGGAAGTTTGCCTCCAACAAGGTCGCATTCTCCCTTATAAAATAGCTTGCCGGACGCGGTCGCCTTGCAAATCTGGTCGCAGTCCGAAAAGTTTTCACAATCTCCTATGCACACTTTGCCTGCATCTCCTTCAACTCTTTTCACTCCTACTAAATAACCCAACATTATTACAAAAGAATAAACAAGTACAATGATAAATACGTAAAGACGTCATATGACAGTTCCAGTCTAATTTGCACTCCCGTTCTCGCATTTACTCCTATTCCTGCCCCGTATGACTTAGGTTATATCCTCTCTCAAGTCACAAGTTTGAATTTTTTAATAAAAGATTATAAATTTTCAAAAAGGGATACTATATTTCCCATCTACAATAAAATTTCCTACAATTGAGAGTCCCTACTAAATAAGTTCAATTCGACTTAGTTTTTAAATCATAAAAAGGAATGGTGGAGTGCATGAGACTTTTTCTAGTGCAAAAATTTCCTCTTTTAAAAATTTAATAAATAATATTATGCTATATATACTTGTATATCAAATATCTATATACACTAATGTCTCTTACACAAATTAAGAACCAAGAACCTTTCAAAATAAAAATTAAAAATTAAAAATTAAAAAAATAATTAAGATAAAGAGTTTACCTGAACTCAGAAGTAAAATGGCTAACGAGATTGCCAGAAAGAATTGGATGCTCGGAGAAGAATTGCTTTTGGCCATTATGTTTGCTCCTTTACTTGAAACTTTGTTTGCTGAATCCCGCTAGCTATATATATATATATAAATATATATTGTATTGACCCTATATAGCATTTTAAATGTATATTAAATCAATTTGGATAAGTTCAATTGAAAAAATTAATTCTTGCTTATTTATATATATATATATATATATATATATATATATATTACTATAATTAAATATGCTCATTCAAATTCATTTACTACATTACACGTTGTTGCTAGTTTCTATAAAAGGCAGAATCCTTTAATTTTGCAATAATAAGAAACAAATCCTTTTTTTTTCATCGTTTGATGAGAGGGATCTCATTTACACCCCCACAATGGGGTAGAATTTATTCGCTTTATTCCCAATTTAAATAGGCCAATCGGTCAATTAATTGTCATTTTCATTTCTCTTGAAATAATTAGCTCTTATTTGTTAAAAAAGAAAAGAAAAGAAGAGAAGTTTATCATTATTGATTACATGTGCCTATAAACTCATTAAAACTTTTACAAATAATTATATGTAAAATAGAGAAAACAACAAAAAATACAGTTTCCTACTCGTTTTTTATGTTCATATTCCACTTTATTTTTTTTATTTTTTGAAGCAATTGGCGTTTCAAACTCAAAGCTTGAACATTGTTCCAAAATGTCTCATTCTAGGCCTTTTTAAAAAAAAGAATAATAATCATCTATGTTTAAGTGATTACAATTTACAGATGTATCAAAAAAATACAATTATTTTCATACTTTTTTTTTTTAAATTTTTTTTTATTATTTTTTTTTGAGTAAAGCCGAAAATCTTTTAGTAATGAACCATCAATAAATCTCTTTGCTACCTACCAATCTCAATTTATTAGCTGTAATTTATTTCTAAAAAAGATAAGATTCTTGTTTATGATTAGTATATTGTCATTATTAAAAGGAAATGATATTTCCACGGACCATAAGATTCTTGTTTATGAAAATCTGTTAGTAATGAACCATCAATAAATCTCTTTGCTACCTACCAATATCAATTTATTAGCTCTTGTTTATTTCTAAAAAAGGTAAGATTCTTGTTTATGATTAGTTTATTGCCATTATTAAAAGGAAATGATAGTTCCGTGAAAAAATATTTTCCCACCAATAAAAAGACGACACATCATCACATGAGGACTACGGTAAATACAAAGACTACTCAACTTTCAAGTTGGGTCTTAACAAGAAGTTTGGGCCAGCATGACCGAACATAGTGGGCTGGATTTATTAAGGAGGCCAGAAATAATGGAATCCCAAGCCCAAATTACTACTAAACTCATTTTTTTATAATAATTTTATTAGAAGAAGAATTATAATCTAAAGAAACAAAATCATATATATATGGTTATAATAAGGATCATATATTGTAATTGAGAATCTTAACGTAAAAATAAGGCAAGCCCAAAAAAGACTCAATTACCTGTAAATTCCTTATAGGTAGAGGTCAAGACCTCGAATAAAGATATACAATATTTGTTTAACCAACTTTACTTGGATTGTGTGATAATTAGCCAAGTTAAAATGTATTTAACTTAGCTTGCACCTCTTTGTATTCAAAAGTATAATGATATAGTTATTCTTAAGGATCACTTACAGTCCACAACAAAACATTTATTACTATTTGTTTAAATGATATAATTACATTTATTCCAAATTCAAACTTCAAATTTGATACCTTACAGTTGCTTTCTTTAGAAAAAAAATAGAAAAACACAATTGTCTTTCAAAATTATCCAAACTCCAAAGTTATCTTGAAGAGTATTCTTAAATGTGATTTGATAATCATTTTCAACATTTGATTTTGAAGTATTTATTTAGTCAAGTACACTTGATAACATAATTTCAATGGACTTGAATTCTTTAAGTTAAATATTCTATCATTTAAAAATAAGAACCACTTAAAATGGTATAAAAGTCTTAAGTGTAAGTGATTTCACCTGTAACTAAATTTTGAATACTTTAAATTATAAATAAATAAAATTATCAAATTCATAATTATCAGTTGTAATTTCAGTGATTCTATTATTATTTTTTAAGCACCTCAAACTACACTTTTGAGAAGAAGAAAATAATAATAATTTTCCCCTTTATTCTTTCTTATTTTTTTACAAACCGATTTTCATCATTTTTAGCTCTTACTTGTTTATGAAAAGGAGGATTTTCTTGTTGTAATTACAACAATACCAAATGCTGATTTACATTTTTTAAATCATAAGCTCTTGTAAATTTGTGGGAAGGAGGATGCTCTCGATCAGTTCTCACTATGATTACAGTATATTGTACTCAAAATAAATTAACGATCATTATTTGTAAGAGTAGTGATATTGGTGAGCCACGCAGAATCTGTGCAAGTGTTTGGGCTTTGGAGAGTTCAAATTCGAACTCCCCAACATTTTTCTTTTTGAAATAATTACCTCGTGCTTATTTGTAAATGCAATTTTTTTTTTTTTTTTTTTTGGGATCATGATATGTAAATTTAAGTTATTTTAAGTGTCACTGTTAAAACATCAGTACTTAAGTCTTCTTTTTTTCTTTTTTACAAAGAGTGGCCTAGTGTAACGGGTAGGCGCTTGCCCATTTATCCAAAAGCTCGAACTATTGGGTAATGTTGCATACCCACCCATTTATACCCGATCACTTTCTCATCCGATTTCGATGTGGGACAAATGACCCTTGTTACATTCTCCCCCACCCAAACTTGCAACGCCCTCGTCGCGGTTCGGGCCACCCTGCCTATCCGGGATGCTAGCCCGAATGCCTTCCGGGCCGAGCGCTTGGCGTGACACCGGATTAAGGACTGGGTTGTGGGCGCTTGTCCATTTACCCAAAAACTCAAACTATTGGGTAATACTGCATACTCACCCATTTATACCAAATCACTTTCCCATCCGATTCCGATGTGGGACAAATGACCCTTGTTACACCTAGTTAGTAGAATTGCCCAATTTTTCGAGCAAGTATGCCCGTATTCGAGTCTCTTCCTCGAATAATAATAAATAAATAAATAATATCTTAAATGAAACAAAATAAAAATAAAATAAAATAATAAACTACATACATCCTATCAACACCATTTTATTCATATAAGAAATAAGAAGTTCAATATTTTTATTTCAAATAAAAAGGGTTACAACTCATAGGCTTTCGAATGAACGAAGAAAAGGAAAGCGATGTTATATTTCTCTTACAATTCCTCTCTTTACACTCTACAATAAAATCTCTTACAATTCCTCTCTTTAATGCTATCCAAAAAATAATGATAATGTAAGTCGACTAGTTATTGTGAAAAGAAAGTGATTAATTGGCAGATTCATGTAGATTTTAGTTTCAATCATGAGTGCAAGAAACATTTCAATTTGTCCTAAATGTTACCTAAGAGGAAGAGTATTCTATTCAGTTTTTAAAAAACAGTTCTCAATCATAACTGAAAAAAGATATATATTTTTTCAAAGATCAATAAAACATTTATCTGAATTTTCATAAAATAATTTTAAGACGTTGTCAATCAAACATATATTATTATAATGATTTTCAGCTTCCATTATTAGGAGAAAACTGAAACAAGAGGGCGAAAAAGTGAACCAAGTACTTGTGACCTCTACTAAAATGTATGATGAGTCCATTTAGATCTTTTTAGATGGTTCGTACTTAAGAAGTAAATATCTCCTTAGATTTTTGTCAATTCATTGCTTTATAAATTATTGTAGGATTTTAACATTCATTTGGTTAACCAAACAGAGTCTGTAAACCAAAAATTTATTTCATTACTGAAAGTGATGTAGCAAGTCAAAATCATCTTTCAATCAAAACATAGTATTACTTAATATATATATATATATATATATATATATATATAT